AAAAAGAACAAAAAAAACAAAAAAAAAAAAAAAAAAAAAAAAAAAAGAAAAAAAAAGAAAAATCTCATAAATTGGGTGGCTTATAAGCAATTTAAATATATCTCTAACAGTTCTGTACACCGAAATTCTAGATCAAAGTGCCAGCAGATTCAGTGTCAGATGAAGTCCCATTTCCTGGATAACTAACTTATGGTTGTGTCCTCGTGTAATGGAGGGGACCACGGAGCTTTGTGGTTTATTTAAAGGCACTCATTCTATTCCTGAGGTCTCTGCTTTCATGACTTAATCACTTCCTAAAGGGTTACCTCCAAATACTTTCTTATAGTGGGTTAGGTATCAACATATAAATTCTTGAAGGACATAAATATTCAGATCATAGCAGAGAGACAAAAAAGTTAATAACTAAAGCCACTAGAATCTTGGTAAGAATGAAAAATCAGAGGTTAGAGGGAGGGTCTAGAGAAAGAGATATTATAAAGATGCAAGAAAAAGAAAGTAGAACAGACAGGAGAAGGAAACTCAGAGAGATGAGTCTGAAATAGGAAGAAGCTCTGGTAAGAGACATGGATGAGCTTGAATATGGAGAAGTTAGAAATTATTTAGAGTTAAGTCTCTTGCTCTTTTATGTTCTCAGTGAAACTGGAAATGAAATCATCTGCTAAAAGTTTGAAGATTGTATTTGGTGCTTGGCTAAGAGTGAATTTAAAACATTTTGGGCAAGGGGAAGGTAAGATGATTAATGATGAGAGAAAAGACTGTGCTGAAACTCAACTGATGTTTGAAAATTTTTTTCACAGCTAAGTGTCTTTTTTATACCACAACATCTTTAAGCCAGAAGAATCAAGCCTATATATTCCATCCAATTTGACATCTATAGCCAAGCTTATCTAAACATATTGTAAGCTGAGTAAAGAAGCTGAACTTTTAGTAATGGGCATCCTTAGAGACACTGGGGTCCAGAGCAGCTACCCCATACGTCTCAGCATCCATTGACACTTTAGCTTCTGCTCTCCCTTTTAAATCTCCAGAACGTCTCTAAGGGACTGACTGAAGTCTGAGTGAAGCATGAAATCTCCTGAAAGAATGCAACCTGCCTGCATTTTACACAAGAATTAGAGGGTGTCCGGGTGTCTTTGAGACCCAGATAATATCAGTATTTGCTTGAGTGATTTTAGATAATCTCTGAGAAGAGCTGAAAATTCATAGTAGGGTACCTCAAATCTTGCACTTGGACCCAGCAGAAGCTCTCTGGACCCAGAATTAAGAGAGGGAGGCTGGACCTATCTATCTTGTTGTCATTTTAGGCTGGTTTCAGCAGTGAATTATAGTCAAAGAAACCTTTCTCTTGGGATCATACTATTTGAGTTCATGAAGAAAACTCAAGCTCATCATAAAAAAGGGGGCTGGTGAATTCTCCCCAAGAAATGAGCTTACCCAATCTCAGTGCTAACGGTTCATGAGGCCAGCATGGCTCCTGATAGAGAACAAAGCTGAGATCCTTAACCCTACTCACTGGTACATTCTATCTCAGATACTACATCAGAATCTCTGCTTTGAAAGAATGCCTGGATTCCATGTACACATTTACCTGTGAGAAACAATGCTCTAGAGTTTTAAGATCATCTAGTCCAATGACTTCTTCAAGTTACAAATGCAGAAAGAAGGTTACAATAAGATTTACTTGATTTTACAGATAAAGCTAGTTTTACTTAGACTTCCAAACCCAAGTAAGGATTTTTTTTCTACTACCCTAGTGTATCAAGACTGCCTGTAACCCATCTGTGCTGAATTACATAAGATGGAGGAAAATCTGATAGCCTCTCCTTTGGAAAAGGGTCCCTTTTCTGAGTGAAAACACGAGGGTCTTTCTTTTGCTCCCTCCTCTTTCTTCTCACAGCAGAATTAAGAAATATACAGGGTAGCTATGATAATTTCCATCTTAAAGATGCTACAAGAGGAAGCTAAAGAATATACATTTGTGTGTATATGTGTCTTTACTATATCCCAGACATGGTTCTAATTGCCTTATTCATATCAACATTATTTTGTGTATAAATTCTTGTAATCCTCAACAGAAATAGAGTTGATTCAGGACCTATGTTGTCACCTCAGTGCCTATTAAGCCCTTTTCCACCAAAGACTCCCACCCCTGTACTGAGACCCTACACTGAACTTCTGGTATATACCCGCTACCTAGGTCATGCGCAGACCCTCAGTCTAATTGTGGCATATGGCTTGATTCCTTCTCCTATATCTTGGCTCAAATATCATTTATCTTTATCATTTAAAGTGCTGTTTGCTCCTCCACCTCTTTTGAGCCTTCTCAATCCACTGAATAGCATATGCCTTCCCTGGCCATATACTCTATCTTTCAGTTTTAGTTTTTCTTTTTTTCCTCATTGAGTTTATCGGTACATTTTAGGTATACAGTGCAGTCACATTTATCATTGGGATCTTGTACCTTTACATGACAGGTCTTGGTTCTCATTTTTTCCCCTTGTCCCTGCCCTCTCTTCAGTTTTAGTTTTTCTTCCTGCCTCCTACTCTCTTCTAGCTTGTATCCCATAGTTTGGCCTTTCATTTCATACAGTGTGCTGTTCTCTGTGTCCTTTCTGTCTTACCTCTGCAAATTCTTTAAGGTCAGGTATAACATTCCAGGACTTCCCCACTGTTCCCTGTAAAATCATAGACATAAACTCCCACAGTGTTGTCCCTGGAAGGGCCTTCAGATACTATGTAATCCAACCTCCTCCTTGTACACAGAGGCCCCACAGAAAGTTTAGCGTTTGCTTAAAGTTTAAGTCAAGTCCAGAATTTAGTTTCCCTTCATTTTTAGTGGTCTTACCCCAGCTTCAATTCGCTTCTCTGTCAAAATCCTACCTACTTTTCTGCAGAAGGGAGTATTTTACGAAAGCAGAAAGGAGGGGGAGGGGGAAAAGAGGGGAGGGGAAGGAGGACGACAGCAAAGAGGAGGAGGAGGAGCAGTAGGCTGCTTGCAGCCACTTAACCCTTCTTCCCCCTCTTCCCACAGACTGGGCTGGACCTCACTCCCTGGCTCTCAGCCCTTTTGCCTTCTCTTCATTTCCCGGGAGATTTGCAATTCCTGCCACACTACTGGCTAGATCCCTGTTTACCTCCAAGACTCACAGTGTCCCTCTCCAGGGTGGAACTTCTTTGCATAGCCACGCCTAGACATACCAAGAAGTCCAATAGCTGTCCCGGGAGCCTCAAGGGAAGAGAAAAGTAGGCTTAGCGCAAAAAGGATTGAGGGTGGATGTATTTGATCCGTTGTTGCTACACGTGTTTGTGAAATGAGTGGAGCGCAGCTTTGATTGCAACGGATTTCTTCTACTGTGAGTGCGGTCTTCAGGGTTGGGGCTGAGGGGCGGGGACTGGGCAGCACATCTAGTCGGTGCTAAAATGTGTTTTTCTTTCCTTGCGAATCCCGTTGTACTAAGAGCCATCTGTGCATTCATTACAGGGTAAATGTGGGAACACCCTGGTGTGGCAAGGGGGCTGGGAGTGGTGAAAGTACAGGATCAGGTCAGGATGTTCCTGCTATGGTGCTGCACAGTGAGACTGGCTGGAAAAGTGTCGCATGGCCATTTGTGTCTGGAGGCTCTGTCTGAGGTGCCAAGAACCTAGGCTGATAGCCATGGAGCCTTGGTGAGACAGTTCTCCCCTATGTAGGCAAGGCTGCTGGGAACATGCCCGGACTTGTCCAACTGCCTTGAGCATCTGGGAATGGTAGATAAAGAAAAGAAAGAGGCTGGGTGTTAGCTGAGAAAGGGAAGCGGGTCAGACATGTGGAACATCCAGGAGGGAAGCTGAACTGCTGGCTCACCCAAGAGTTCCCCAGGCAAGTCAGGACTTGTGTAAAGAGCACGCTGACTCTGTATGGGGCTTTCAATCCACTCCCACACCCACCCAGCTGAATTTCACTTGATCCCTCTCTCCTGGAAACTGAGCCCAGGGCAGTGATATTTTGATCCAGCCTCACCCCAAACACTGGCCAAGACCCAGGCAGCTGCAAGAACTGGAGTACGAGATCCACCAGAGATGAGGCTGGGAAAACAGATCACCGAGTCTGATTTGGACAGGTATTGGCAGCTCTGCCCAATATCATACAGGATGGCTGGGGTAAGAAAGTGTGGAGCATCTTCCCTAGATAACTTTCCTGTGCCCTCCTTACTCCATCATACCCTCTGTTCAATTTAACAGACTTACTGAGTATTTACTTTGTGCCACGAATTATGAGATAGATACCTAAAATACAGGTTGTGATCACTGGCCCAAACAGATCCATGATGGGTATAAGAACATAAATAAATATAGCAGAAGATAGATTTTAAAGGTGCAAAATGCTCCAAGTTTGTCAAGTAAGAATCATATTGGGTAAAGCTAGAGAAAAATCAGAAAACTATTTTTGAGTGTTGCTTGAAATTGTAAAATTTCTCAGGGCTCCAGAGCCAGACTATTTGACTCCAGATCCCATTCCCAACATTTATTGTGTAACTTGGACAAATCCAGTTACTTCCTCCCCTTTGAGTTAACGCTAAGAGAAAATAATATCACCTACCTCATTGGAATGTTGTGAAGATTAAATAAGATAATGCATGTAAAATAATTACACTTAGTATAGTACCTGGACCAAAATAAACACCCAATGATTAATAACTTTTATTTAAGATGGATCATGGAGAACTGATAGAATTTCAACAGTTGGAGATAGGAGAGAAAGCAATTTAAGCAGAGAAAACAACAGGAAAAACTGCAGGAGTGGAGGGAAACTCAGAGCATGTGCTGTATTTTAGAGTACAATTAGGGAAAGTGGAAGTTAAAGTTAACTTGTTTGAATCGTGGTAAACTAAGGAAGATTTTGGATGCTTGACTTTTGATTTGATTTGGAGTTTGTAGGTTGAGGAAAAATTCAGATGTTTACTTTAGAAAGAATCTGCTAAGTGTGAGTCACATAAATTGGAATAGGAAAACACAAGAGGTAAGAGTGTAGAGGATTCTGGATCTGAAGTGGTGGCTGCAGACATGGAAAGGAGGCAGTACATTTAACAAGGCATCACAAAAGAATCTGCAGAAATTTGAAGTTGATAAATTATGTGGGATTAAAGGAAGAAAGAGAATCCAGAATCCCTTAGGGTTGGCTTAGACTTTAAGAAGATGGGTATTCTCTCACTGTGAGTTCGAGATCAGCCTGGGCTACATAGTGAGTTCCAGGTCAGTCTCAACTACATAGTGAGACCCTGTCTCAAAAAACAACAACAACAACAACAAAAGAATAAGAAGATGGGTATTTTCATTCCACCTCTGTGAATGGTGCATTAGAAATGAGATCACCCTTCTGAGGTGGACACAGCTATTTTTATTTATTTATTTCTATCTATCTATTTATTTATTTTTGCAGTACCAGTAATCAAACTCAGGATCTCAGGACCTTGCACTTGAGAAGTAGGCCCTCGGTCCCTAAGGTCACAGCTATTTTTACGTTTTGGTTCTTCTAATTATCTGCTCTTTGGGTTCCTAAGCATATTATGGACGTTACATTCGCAAGCAGCATCAATATATCCAAAGGGAATTTAGAAATATGTGGGAGTGGTATTTTTTACACAAATTGTGAGGTATCAGTTAGTGCTAACTAGCTTGATACAATAAAGAGTTGTTACTCTTTGCCTGCCTGTAAAATCAGTGGATCTCTTCTTGTATTCTAGTTCTCACTTGACTAAGTGAGAAAAATTGAATTACTTGAAGCATCCATTTTCCTGAAAAAGAAAGAAAATACTACCTACATCCTAAACCAGAGTGTTGCTGGAAAGAGACACATAGTAGGCTTAGGGTTAGCCTCTGTTTCCCCGTCTTGTTTATAAAGCAATTCGATTTGGTTCTCTTAAAGAATCCTTTTAGAATTCCCTGACTATATATTTTCCGTTACTGGATTGTTTGAAAATTTTAACTAATGGCCAAAAAGAAGAAAAAAATAAACCATTGTGGAATGTGCTGTCTTGTGAGCACTGAGGTGCCTGTTATTAAAGGAGTACAAGTAGAGTTGGATGGTATTTCTTTCTTGAATGACAAACAGCTGAGGCTACAATGAATTTTATTTATTGTTTGTTTGTTTTGAGATAGGGTCTCACTATGCAGTTCTGGTTGGCCTGGACCTCATTCTTTTGAGCAGGCTGGTCTCAAACTTGTTGTGGTCCTCCTGTCTGAGCCTCCCAAGTGCTAAGATGAGTGTTCAACTGCCTTCTGACTCTAAGATTGTCAGAGGCTAAAAATTATTTCACAGACTGTGTATTTACATATGAGATTATATGTTTCTTATTTATCATTTTCATCTTATCTCACAGCCCTTTCAAATCCTACACCTTTCTTCAGCGTTTTTTTAAGGGCAAGAAATATTTCAGGATCAGGATGTCGACCTGTACCTCAGTTTATGGGCTTTTTCTCCCAGTCCTGTTGTATGGATATGACCTTGCGTTGTTCTTGCAAATACCCATTGGTCTGTTGCTCTTCTCCTTTAGAGTATTTATTCCCTAACTTTTGAGGAAAAGATGGAGCGCTTGATAGATTTAGGATTGCTCTGGGGAAAAGGGACTGTTCATGTTGATATATTCACAGAGGCACAACTATTCTAGATTGCTTGATAAGTTGAATAGTGTGAAGACATTGTGGGGTAAGATAAAAAACATTAGTACAAATATGAAATTAGAACAGCTGACTGAATTTTATCCACTTCCCAGCCCTGAAAAAAATCATACCATTAATTCAATTAACAGATGATGCATCGCAGTCAAAAGCTTCCTTGGGAATTCAATGGACCTCCACTCCTAGTGCTGCTGGTTGGGTAACTAGTTTTTGATGATACCATTATTTCTTGGTGTCTTAGTGGTCTGTACATAAATTAGCGACTCGTTTTGGCTAGGACAATAGTAAAACAAAACAAAGGCTTCAGGTATTGGCTGAATGTTGGTCTGGCATGTGACTTGTTTCCAATACCCTTTGTTCCCTAGCTCTGGGTTAGGTAATAAAACCAATCTTAACAATTCTTCATGTATGTAACTCAATCTGTAGTTTCCAGAACATTTTCATGTACATTATCTCTTGTTTTTCCCTCAATGTGGTAGTTTTCTGTACCTTTGCTTCCACTTGGGAAGATTGTTTAGGGGATTATTAAAATGGAATTTCCCCCTTATAATCAGCTCAAAATTTACTGGTCTTAATTTCACCCCATTTCTTTTATTAATTATATCTCTGTTTTTTGGCTGCACAATTTATTTTCTTCTCAACAATTCCTCCTCAGCAACTGCAAGACTCTAACCAAATATTTATATTGTTTAAATTTTCAGCTACTCAATATACAGCTTTCTAAGCTGTATTTATCCTTTGAGGTTTCTATATATTTTTTGCAGTGTGTGTGTGTGTATGTGTTTGTGTGTGTGTGCATGCGCATATGTGTTTTGAAAAAGAATTTGACTCATAAGGTTAACATTTGCCTTTGGCTGAGTGGAAGTGACCCAGTGCAATTGGTTATTAATTCTGTCTTTAGAGTAATAACTGCTTTTAATGAGAATTTTTCTTCTTTTTTACTCCAACTGGGGCATTATCTCTTGCTTTGTGTACTAGAATAAAGGACAAAGTAAACAGGTGAGGCTTTAGTTTTTCAGTTTCCTTCATTCTCCTTTGTGCTAATCTTGACATTACTGAACCAGATGTTTCTGTCAATAACAGTTGGAATTCTTCAGTAACTTTGGAAATGGAGACAGAAGCTTATTAAAAACTAGTAACCACCTGTGGCCTCTGAATTATTTCCATTTCAGGCACATATTTTAGCCCACTTGAACACAAGTAGACAATGTTTTGTGTGTGGCCTTAGTACTGAGCTACATCCCAGCCCCCCCCCCTTTTTGAAGAAGGATCTTGCTAAGATGCAGGCTGGGCTCAAACTTGTGATCCCCTGCATAAGACTGCCTCTGTGCTGGCATTATAGGAGTGCTCCCAAACAAACAAACAAATAAAACAAAATGTACTTTTATCACACACCCATGAAACCAAATCAAAATCAAAATAACACATCTCCAGTCCTGACTCTCCCTCACCTCCCTTTGCTAAACAACAGCTGACACTATTCACCTCTTACTTCTTAAAACTTTGTCGTCTCCTGCCCTATCCAGGTTCCATGGCTGTTATTTCTCTTTCAATTCCATATATTGGTGTCCCTCAATGTTTGTTCTTGGAATTTCTTCTTTACCCTTCTAAACTTTTCATATGTTTTACCTAAATCCATGGATCTTTACCAACAGATGCATTTATTCACTTAGCCTTTAGCCTGAGTATTTTATTA